CACTACAAAATGAGAACGCCGAGGAAAAGCGTGGCAGGATTATTTTAGTAAGCAATTTTCAAATCTTTTTACGCGGTAAGTTGTAAGATCAAGAGTTATATGGTGCAGGCAGATTTTTTGAAAACACAACACCCATTCAGCAAAAAGGTAGACGAGTCCTCATAATTTTATAAGAAAAAGTAGCTAGGGAAATAAATAAATTGTTGCACCAAGGGCACATCGAAGAATTTGACGACTGTTAGGAGCGATATTTCGTTTCTCGGTAAAAAAACAGTTCAAAAAAAAAACGGTTAAGAAAGTCGGCTCCGTAAAACTCGCACTGGCAGCTCGTGAACTAAATAATTAAGTGCTTAAAAATAAAAACCAAATGCCGAATATCGAGGAACTTGTGAACACGGTCGCACAGACAATTAGCAAAGAAACTACCGAGATATTTATTTTTCAACTATGGAATTAACGCTTACAGATAACTGCCGCTCAGACCGAAAACTAGTGTGCAGGGAAGCTTTTCGTTATTTGGTGGTAAATCAACAAGAACGTACCGATTTAAAACAGATTTCTACGGGTAAACCACGATGCCAGCGGAATTTCAAAAGGTTTTGGATTCGATTTTTTCAAAATTCCACAGGCACATGCCTTCATCGATGATATATAAAACAACAACAAAAGGATCGGAGAGCGAACAACGTTTCGCGCAACGAGAATAAGAGTGGTTCGGGCATAAAATAACCTCGACAGGAGTTACCCCGTTCATCCGAAAGACGGAACTGATCGAATCACTTAAACCGCCTCGCACATTATCGCAACTCAAATCGTTTATGTGATCGATCCACAGTTTGCGTAAATATATGCTGGCGCTGGCTGAAGCATCGGCGCCGTTACGCCTGCTACTCAGCAGGAAAAACGAATATTTGTGGACACCGGAATGCCAATTGTGGAACTAAAACATTTTGATGTACACAAAGATATTAGGAGTGTCTGCCACGCAAGACATCACGGATTGGTAGCCGTGCTTGAACAACTCGGACCCGAAGGGTGGCGGCCGATCTCACTTGCATCGCGTTATTTTAAATTAGCCGAAAAGAGGTACTCAACAAGCGCATTTGAAATGCAGGCGGTATTATGGGGTGCGGAGTTTTTTCGAAATTATGGTTTGGGATTGACTTTTAAAGTTATTGCCGACTATAAAGCGTTGGCATCGTTATTGAACGGGAATAATAAAAAAAAACAGAATGTTGTTCAGCCGCTAAAAGGATGGCTAGGGAGATTAACTCCAATCGACTTCCAAGTGGAACATAAACCGGGGGCTAAAACTGGACTGGCAGATTTTTTTATCCCGAAATTCAAATAGTTTAGCAAAACCAGTTTTAAATTATGATAGTATGTTTACAGTGGCAAAGATAAATTCTATTCGTAGCGCCCTCGGATTTATAAAATCTAAATTATTTGGGGGACTGGATAAAAAAAATCAGCAATAACTCAAATGAGAAGATATCAGCCAACAGGAAAGAATTATGCAAATTTCGATCAACAAAACAGCCGCTAGAGGGCCAAATAGCATGCGATAAACGTTCAACCAATCAAAAGGCAGCAATTTGCATACGCCGCCGAAAACTCAAAAACAGTTGGAGCGATTTTTAATTTAGGAAACGCAGCAAGAATTCGATCGAAAATAAAACTGAAACGATGGAGAAAACATTCCGAAAGAGCGATTTTTAATTTAAGAAACGCAGCAAGAGTTCAATCGAAAATAAAACTGAAACGATTGAAAAAACATTCCGAAAGCTGGAAAATTTTATGAAGAGGCATCCGAGTATCGATACGAGTGACAGCGGAGATGATAGAGTGGAGGAAGTAAATGGAGAGACTAAACTGCATGCAATTACGACTGAAACAAGCAGCTTGAAAACGAACATCGTCCTATCCATTCCTTCGGAGATCAAGGGAGAAAGTTTTCCTCCGGTGGACCCGAAAACCCGAAAAACTGCATAACGTTTTTAGTCCCGCGAAACTGTAAGGAGGTCCAAAAAAACACTGCCCTCCCTGAATGGTTTAACCTCCGGTTCATTGCATCGCAATACGCCTCAGAACCTCAATTACCAGCTGGCTACGAGATGGTAAGAGCAAAGGACCCGGATATCCAGCAGAAAGTCCACAACATGCATCGTCAAAACTCGCAGTTTGTCAAGATTTTCCATGTACGCTATAAATGGACGACAAGCTCGTCTTATCCAACACTCTACACAAAGCCATCAACAACAGAATGCACCACTACCACCATGGCAAATCAAACATGTTCACGGCGGCGAAAGACATTTGGTTTTTTATTGTTCACCGGAACATCGCGGCGATGGCGGAAAACTGAAGATAATGTATTGCGGCGGGTAAGAATCTTAAATCTATGTGTAACAGGAGAGATCTACGTTGAATTCCGGAAGCAAGGTAGCCAAATGAATCATTGCAATTGAATTTCTGTGGGCCCTTTAGCTATTTAAATGAATCTAAAAAAAAGCGTAATAGTAGCTGTCGACCGATTCTCGCTTTGGCCATCAGCGATGGTCTGCGGAAAAAACCACTCGGATAAAATTCTTAAGTTCCTTAAATCATATAAACAAACATGAGATGCGCGTGAGGAAAAACCGGAACCCTTGGATAAAATACTCGAACGGGTCCTCGGAGCGTTACGATTTTCGAACAATGCAACACTTAACAGTACACCATTTGAAGCACATCATGGTCGAAGGCAAACACGGTGTTGAGAAACCTAACCAAATAGTCATCGCTAAACAACTTGAACTGGTCAAACGTACTTAAATCTTAATCTGCCTGTTTAAATGAACGTGATCCGGTGGCACGAGAAATGTCTAATCCAGCACACACTAATTGAGGGATCGGGTCAGACTCGGAGTATTGTGACAGCACTCGAAACCACCCAATTCAGTTAACGGACGATCAGGCAATTAATCAGGACAACGAACCGTCGTCAAGAACGACAGCGGACCCTAGCACAGCGGCTGGACCATCGGGATTAGTGTTCCAACGAACGGGGGACCGATACATTACTCAATTCTAAAAAAAGTCGCGGAAAGCGTGCATACAATAAGGATGATTAATGGTCGCTTTCTTGAGAAGTCCCGAGTAGCTATCAGAAACACAACTACACCAAAGAAACGGGCCGCTGACAATATACCAAAACAGCAGACTCCGCAGGAAATTAGCCACCAAGGGCACTTATCAGAAAAATTCAGCTCCAACAAGAGTGCGAGTGCGAGCGAGGCAGAGAACGCAAAATTCAGTGGTACAGGCGACGGGAACGCGATCGGGGAAAGAAAGAAAGCGAGCGGCGGAGGTATTCCACGAGCCGAACGCACCCTCGGCGCAAACAACGAATGCGCCCTCGGGACAAACAGAAAATACCCATCCAGGCGACGAAAAGAAAAAACGGGGAGGAAGACAATACTCGAAAAGTAGTCAAGACGATATGGACTCATGCAGGAGCGGAAGAAAAAGAACGGCTGTCGGCAAAATGGGGCAGTGATGATTGATGACATTTCCTAAGGAGTGAACAGAAAATGTAAATAAAACCTCGGAGAGTCTAGGCAAAGAGCTGACTGGATTAGTCAAAAAATTAAAAAAATTTAGTTGCTTAGTACAAGTCAAAACATTCAATTGAGTACTTAAATTTCGAATCGTTAATTATTCATATCTTTTCATTTTTACAAAAAGGGAATGTCATAGTGGTTAAATTGATTGACTCAACTCATTTAGTTTTTGTTCATTTATTATCTGTCAATCAATTTCGATTTCATTCTGGTGCTAGAAACATCTGCTACCTTTGGTTGACCTCTAATTTGGTATCTTTATGACCTTGATACAATCCAGTTGGTTATACCAAAAGTCAAACCACAAAAGAGCCTCAGCAAGCTGTCTTTATTTCAATGGGATTTGTGAACTGGAATCTTTCATGACTCAACCACGAGGCTCTGACCTATTGCCTTCAATTGCTTCCACGTATACCTGATTCTTAGCGGTTATAAATAAAACGATTTCACACACAGCGATACATTAAGAAAAAATCGTTGAAAAGCTTTTTAAATTAAAAAAAAAATCTGACAAGGAAAATCAATGAAACATAACCAACAGACCGTTGGAAAGAGTCAATGAACGCAGTATACAAAAAAAAATTAAGAAGGAAATTTTTAAAGAAAACCGTATATGCCCTTCATTCGCCACGTTCATCGATTCTTAATTAACATTATCATTCATGACAACTAATTTCAATTTTTAATAAAGTGAAAAATTCACGTATCCGCTCGCTGATTTTAATCAGTCAATTCCGCCTCAAAATTTGCATATTTTCGCCGTTTCATTTAACTTGCAATCAAGATTCATCCAACTCGCTGCCGATTTTCGCCTGCTGCGAATCGTCGCTTGGTGCAAACTATTGCCCTTTATTAATGCTACGAATAGTGGTGTCATCCGGCATGGACCGACAAAACTCAGATATATATACATTGACACTTATGATTTATGTTGTTACATATGTTTATGATGTTGCATGCCATAAACATACATTTAGTCGGTCAATTGACCTTGAGAGATCTCATCTCGAACACAGACCGAATGAACGGTCAGAGCAAGAATAAACCTTCGCTTAAATTGGTCGTTTTATCTCGCTCCGCGTTAGCTTATCTGTTTGTCGATCCATTCGGATTCAGGAATCAAACGTTCATACATTGAGGTATGACACGTGGCTTGCGACGGATTTTCGCCTCAAGCCCAAGATCGAGCAATTACTAATTTGTTAATATCCTTAACATTGGCTGTACTTAATAGCTGGATCAAAAAGAACACTTCCAAAATGAATACTTTTTGTCGCAACAATTGCATCGCAACAATATTTGCGACTTAGGTTGGAAAAAAAATGAGAGTTCATACTATAACAAAAGTTATGCTGGTGTAATAAACAACTACAATACCAATTGCATCCCTGTCTTTACCTGGGGTCTGCTGACGTTGTACATGTTCACTTGATCTGCAGTCCAATTAGGCGACTTCTCGTGTGAACAGAAGAGGTTTTTCAGACTGTCCTTGAATTTCTTCAGCAGTTTCATCTCTCGTTTCTTCAAAGCCCCAATCTGAACTTCGTCGTGCATGTAATTCTATTTGCATCAACTCAACTTCCGAGACTCCTAACTCATTATAATAGTATCGACTCTCTTAATTACCAATACTCTCAGTTTAACGTCAACTCCCAATGATAAATATTGGGTTTCTCAACTTCATTTCTAGATGCTGACAAACGACTTCCATTTGCCCTTTAGGGCCTTGTTACCGATTTTCTCCCCCATTGCTATTCGTTACAAGATACAAAACAAGTATATGTTTAACTTTTCAAGTCTTCCTTTAAAGTGGGCCAGTTCGTAACAAGCTACCATAGGGGAGGTAGAATAGTTAACAACACCCGCCCTTCCCAACACTCTTCTCTCCCAACGCCAAAATCAAGAAATTTTCTGAGCGGCCAAATTGTCGGAATGATGATCCGATAACGATTATGAAATCTTCCGCAAGTTCGCTATATTCCGGCTTTTCCAGGAATTGTTTTCCGTATCAAAATTTCAACTATTCCGCTCGAAAGCGGTCGTAAAAAGTCTTCGTGAAAATTTGCCAAAAAAACTCGGACCATTTTTGTGACCTGTACATGGACAAATGGACATTAAGTGAAATTAATGTAAATGACCCAATTGAGGCTTTCAAGAATCTAAATGAATTCTGTGTGTTGAGTTATAATTTGATAGGACGTGACGTGAGTGGGAAGCAGCAGCAGCAGAAGTTGAGTTGAGTTGTGTGGTGGATGCCTGGTTCTTGATGTAGTGGATGGTGCACCTGCAGATGACATAGAGGAGGAAGGAGTGGTTGGGCACTGAGTAGTCTGCCGCCTCTTCCATGCACAGTCTGTCCAGTTGGGAGAAGAATGCGAGCAGAGCGGGCGAGAGGGAGTAGATGGCAGTGGACAGCAGTCTCATGTACTCACTCACACACTCGTACACTCTGACACACAACACAACACAACACACTCATTAACCACTTATTATTTACTCGGATTTTTTCAGAAGTTTGCGAAATGTTTACCTATTCGCTTAAATGCACTAGTCTTACGAATCTAGGCTGAAAAATTGACGTCTCAAATCCTTGTAGTTTTCGAGAAAATTTTAATGTTCATCCCTGTCAAGGAAAATCTGACAAGGATTTAAAAGGTGGGGTGGGGGGGTAGAATTCCCAAAACAAAACAAAGTTTTGGGAATAATGTTTTGTTTTGGGAATTCACAACAATTCCCAAAGCAAAACATTATTCAAGAACTGGAATAATAAAATATTCGCAGTCGGCAGGATTCGAACCTACGCGGGAAGATCCCATCTGATTTCTAGTCAGACGCCTTAACCACTCGGCCACGACTGCTTGATACTAAACCGTCCCCAACTATTTATAGACCACTAGTATTCTGACACTGCTTATATATTCATTCACTGCTGCTGTTCAATAAAAGCAAAATCCACAAAATAATTGCCATCCTTGCAGGGCGCTACAACTGCATGTAACAACTCAACACTACACCCAAATACCAAAATCCATACTATACATATTTACAATTGACATTACAAATGCCGGCTCTTTTCCAGTTCCCCCCCTTCAAACTCAATTTTGAAAAGTCTATTTAACGTTGTCACAATGCAATGAAATTTGGCGTGGTGAACAAATCGACAATTCTGAACAGATTTGTTCATCATACTTTACAGCGTAACTTCACGCATTTAGCCGTAATAACACGTAAAACAAATATAAAACTCGTTATTTTGAAAGGGGGGAAACTGGAAAAGAGCCCAAATGCCAAAGCTCGAAATTGATTTCATTTAGACGTCGTCTCGGTTCTTTTCCAGTTTCTTCCTTTCAAGCTGTAAAGTATGAAGAACAAATTTGTTCAGAATTGTCAATTTGTTCACCACGCCAAATTTCATTGCATTATGACAACGTTAAATATACTTTTCAGTATTGAATTTGAAAGGGGGAAACTGGAAAAGAGCCGTCGTCTCCGTAACATCGTTTTGACGCAGGATTGCGCCAACTAATGTTCCACGCGAGCCAATTCCACTGGTGGGAGGAGGGGGGGGGGAGAGGGGGGTTAAAAGAGGAAAGGCGGCGAAATAATAAGATGGGAGCTGTACCTCTCGGAGTAGGATGGTGAGGCGGAGGCAGCTGCAGCAGCTGTGAGGAATGAGGGACTGCTGCTACTGTTGTAGTTGTTGGTGTTGCTTCTGCTGTTCCTCAGTCGACACCCACACGGCAGCTCACCTACACAACACAACAGACGACACTCAGACAGACAGACAGACAGAGAGACAGACAGACAGACAGACAGACAGAAAGGAAGGAAGAATAAATATCAGCGGCTCAATCACAAACATAAGTACAGCACAGGCTGTTTTCAAAACACGTCCTTTATGAACCCTACAAATGGCTACAATTGTGATAGAGGAGGCGACTCCGGTCCCGGTAAAAACCAAGTGGGAGAGGAGAGAGGTGTCTAAAATAGAACAATTTACTAAATCAAATGCGCCGGTCGGCCCTTTCAAACCTGTTTCTCAAGCCTAATTAACCAGCCTCATTTGCGCCAACTTATTTCATACTTCAGTTGAAATTACCGAAGCACTAAATTGCTCAATTTTGAGTCTAGTATCTAGGGTCTTTTCGGTTATACCTCCCTAAATGAAAAGTCGAAATCAATTTTTTGTGCTAATTTGGATCGATATTACTAAGAAATGCTGGCTGTCAATATAGTACAGGACGAAACGAAGTAATTTCATCTCATTTAGCCTCAAACAGGTCTTTTTTCCTGTTTTTTTTGCCGTTTTCTTCATTTAAGTTTCACAAGTAGGAGTCCAAATGCTTTCTGAATAGCCATGTATTACCTTTTTTTTTGCAGTTTTCCGAGTTGATTCAAGGCTCTGGATATCTGGATAGCAGCCCGTCTTGTCGTAGTAATATTGATCCAATTTTGTAATCTTCTTACAAGTTTCTATTTCCATTTTCAGTTCAGTTTTTATTTTTCAGGGGGGGGGGGGGGGGGGGTAACCGAAACGACCCGCTTTCTATTTACATCAGGGACGCGGTTAGGTTCTTATGGCCCTTATCACACTTGTACCGAATCTTTTCTCAATTCAAAAACAATTGGGCTATTAAACCTTTTCACTTTTCAATAGGCAGAAAAATTTTGCCCAATTTTGACATATTTCATAAAGTTGGCTTGATTTTTGTTCACGCTTGTCTTTGCAGTTTATCAAATTTTCACTGCATTTAGTGCTGATGAAGCTACTACTATAGCGACGGTTTGAAACAACCAAATAACCTGGACTAAAACAACGATCTCGAACTCGTTTCTCTCAAAATTGGTGAGTTTTAGACAAAAAAAGACCAGGACAAATATTATTTGGAATTTGCAAGCTTCTTTTCGGTGCAATTTATTTTGCAAAAAATAACACCAAGATTATACCGTTAAAGCCGTTCAATTCACTTGGTTTGAAAAGAAAAGGTGTTTGTGCCTGTTGTGATTGTGTTTTAACGTAGTAACCCTCACCTAGCAGCTAATTAGCTGCCAGTCAGTTGTGCTTTATACGGAGGTCATAGGACTTCGCTTCACTTTTGTTCCCTTTAGACAACAGTCAGTTGTAATTCAACACAATTACTTTTATTCTTTTAGGTTAGCTTAGTTAGCTTTAGTATACCAGTGGTATTTGAACACCTCTTAATATGGCGCAGTCAACTGATTCGAATCTGCGGGGAACTCCCGCCTTTTGGCTGAACCATACTGTGGAACCACCTACCCAATCGACTAATTGGATCGACCAGTTCCACCTGGCCATCATCGCCAAAGAGAACTTAGACATAGATATCCTGAAAGAGAAGTTGGGGTCGGAAACGACAACCCATATTATAGAAACCGCCCAGGATTCAGAAAACGAAACACGGTAAAACCAGGCAGGCCAGAAATAAAGAATAAATGCGAGTCTACGAAATTTCGGAGAAAAGGATTTTAGACGAGAAACGAAAATTCGGAGGGGGGGGGGGGGGGGGTGAGGAGAAACGAAGCAGACAAGAAAGTAAAATCCATCCTTTACTTGGCCTTAGTAGCCGAGGGAAAAAAGTGTTCCCTCGAAAACACTCAAGGGTGAAGGTCTTATCCATTTCCTTCAAAGAATTTTTCGACCTTTTGAACGCAGCATTTGTCAAACCAGTGAACATTACGTTTGAACGATATAATTTTTTGAGCCGAAAACAGAAGGACAGAGAGTCCTACGAACAATTTTGGGAGCATTATCTGATTTAGCTAGACCTTGCAAAAACAGTATTAATGCAGAACGGGAATGGATAAGAGATGTATTCATATTCAAAATGAGAAATCGCGATCTCCAACGAAGACTCTTATCTGAAACGCTAAATCCAGTGGATGCACTGAACCAAGCAATTATCGATGAGAAAGGTTATTACAACCATCTCAAACTAACGAACATGACAAGGGCCAATAACAACAACAGCGTCAGGGTCTACAAAATTTATATTTCAGTAAAAAAGGAACCAAGTCTGAATAAAGAAGATCCAAAACCTGTATAAAATGTGGAAATGCTTTTACCAAAAGACATTTGAACGTTTGCCTAGCAAAAGAAATATTATCAAAATTGCAAATACAAAGGACGCTATGGAAGACTCGACAAATCAAAAGGAAGAAGGCCAGTTGTATATAAGGTAGAAGAAAATATAAATAATCAATTGTCCATATTCGACAGGGGACTCACAAATGAACTCAGAAGAAAATTTACGTGGAGTGATAAATGCCTGGACAGAAGAGGGAACAAGTGACAACGATGATAACTCGGTGTTAAACATACGAACTATCTACGATGACAATGGCATCGAAACGAAGAAACTTGTAATTATCGGATTATGCGAGGACGCAATACTAAATATGAATATTCCAGTGGATTCAGCTAGTCCAGTAAGCTTGCTGAAACAGAATGCGCTACATGAGCTGAAATTGAGAGTCCCACAACTAAAAATTCTACCCGTTGACAAGAAAATCCATGCACTCTATTGCGGTTTCACTAAAGATACAATAAAATTCATCGGGAAAATCCAACGGATGCATTTCAGAAGAAACTCCATTTTTCATCACCACTGGACACGAGAGGAACATCTTGGGAAACGACAACTTATCCCGATTTGTAATAGAAATTGCGCAGAAACAACCGTTACTTCCGGTGAACACCGTATCTCTTCCGGATTCGTGTAAGTCTTATGTCCATTCGAATACAATTCTTAACATGTACAATAATATCAAAGGCAATTTTAACAGAGTAGGAAAAATACTTTTGGATAAAAAGATTAGACATTTCTATTCTCCGTTTAAACTAATTCAAACCAAAGGTAGAAGAGTTCCTTTGCATTTACTGGAAAGCGTAAAGTCCGAATTGAATAAAATGGAAAAAGAAGGGCACATTGTGAAATTAAATAAATGCGACGAAGACTGTTTCATAAGCCCAATCGTAATTACAAGAAAAAAGGATGGCAGTATTATATTGCTTTAGACTCTAAACTCTTAAACGAGCACGTATTTGAAAACAAATATCAAATGCTAAACATTCACAAACTTATAGACAAAATCGCTCTCCAACTCTCATTAAAATTTAGGTGAAGCGTGGTTCAGTAACTTAGATTTAAAAACCTTACAGCCAGTTACAACTATGCGATGATACTAGTAAACAATCCAATTTTAGCATAGTAGGGGGCAAAACCACCGGAACCTATCGATTTTCAACGGGATTCTATGGGTTGGGAGTTATGCCAAACGAATTCCAAAGAGTAATGGAATCTTTATTAAAAGATATTCCGTTTAGCAACTACTACATCGATGATATATTAATTGCCTCAAAGGGTTCTTTAGAAGAACAAAGCTATCCTTGGGAAAATTTTAAACATCCTAGAAAGCAAAAACATGGCAATTATGTGGGAGAATTGTGCAATCTTTCAAAAAGATATTGAATGGTTGGGGTTCAAGATATCGCACACAGGATTAAAACCATTGGTTGGGAAATCGGATTCAATAAAAAAAACTTCCAAACACGAACATTTCAGAAGTAAGATCATTCTTTAGTTCAATAAACCAGTTTATGAAATTCCTCCCTAATCTGTCAACACTGAGCTCACCGCTACGTCCTTTATTAGTTAAAAAAATCAGCATACCATTAGGATGATTCTCGCACGAAGCCTTCGAAGAACTAAAAAAAATATATTGCAAAAATAACGATCATTTGATATAAAAAGGAAATCAAGACTGAAAACAGACGCCTCGAATAACGGCTTAGGGGCTACATTAGAACAATGAGATGGTGAACTTTGGCTAAAAATTGCATTCGCGTCTCAACATATGAGCTAGAACTTTTGTGAATGGTTTGGGCAACAGAACATTACAAGAATAATTGATATGGCGCAAGGATTTGATATCGTAACGGATCATAAAGCACTGTCATCGGCATTAAACGCGAACCAGAGCAATAAAACGATGCATAGTAGACTGACCCATTGGGTAAAACGACTCTTGCCGTTTAATTTCAAAATCAAACATGTCCCAGGAAAAGAAATCGGATTTGCCGATTTTTTGTCGAGATTGCCCTCAGGACAAGCCCTCCCAACCTCTACAACGAAATTACTACAACGAAATTGTGATGGCAACGGTTAACAAGATTTTAGAAAAATTTGCAGTAAATAGTGACTGTAAAAAGAACAATTGTATAAAGAACGATTTGTTGATTGATAATCCAGTGGATGTATACAGTGTAAATAGTATAACTAACTTGGATTGCGTAAAGCTTATGGTCGGAAACAACGAAAAGCTACAATACATCCAACGGTCATTCTTCGCGAATTTTCTTAATTACGTCACAGACACACTGCGAATTTGGAATTCTAATCACTCGCGTTCAGAGTTTTGTACGAGCAGTTGCATTCCATTTAACCTTTCCAAATTTAAATTCAAAAAAATTTTTCATCGGACAAATCTTACTTTTCCGTTTTAATACCTTCAATATTTTCATTTTTTTTTCGAAATTAAATAAAAGAAGATAAAGCCAAATTTATAAAATTTCAAGTCTCAGTACAATTGTTTAAATTACCACTTCGTGAGGAAAATCAATGCGACATTATGCACGAAATACATCAGAAGTTACTTACAAAGTACAAGGAGAGCAAAAAATATCTTCATCTCCATTAGTTTTCACGTACCATTGTTCGAACAAACTCAT